GGGAAGGGGCGGCCCCAGCAACTCCGAAACCCCCCTCTTCCAGGAGGGGTCTGGCTGGAGGTGGGAGACGGTGGGTCCCAACACAAGCGGTCACAGAGCTGCACAACGACCACCCCAGAACTGTTCCTCCTCCCTCCCAGGCCCCCCTGCCCGCCCCTCAGTGCTATCGGGGTGATGGCTCCTAACCCACTACTGCAGTCTGCCCAGACCCCCTACGCCCCACACTGGGACCCTTGCAGCCTCCCACTTGGAGGGACTGCAAAGGGACTGGGTGTCCTCGGCCCACCAGCTGCCTCAGCTCCTCTCCCCCACCTGGTGCCCAGCCTCCACCCAGGACAGGGTGAGCTTGCTGGTGCAGTGGACATTTTTTCTCGCCAGTGCCAGACTGACCCCATGTAAAAGGAAGCTGCTGAGGTCCTCATCAGGGGCTTTGAGCTGGTGCCCACTGGGTACCTAGGGCAGTGTGGTGGGGGTTCTGGGCTGGCCCTGGGCCCTCTGGCCAACTGGGAGCTTTTCTGTTCTGGAGGAAGTGGGGGCACTGATTCCTCTGGGGTTTCCCAGGAGCAGCCAGGGCCCTGGTGACTGGGAGAAGGATGCCCAGCCAGAGCTGGGTCCTGACCCCTGTCATTGGCAGGAAGGCAGTGGACACGTGGGTCTGTAGGCAGAGGTTCCAGGATACTGTGTAGGGTCATCTCTAGTGTAGTTGACCCAGGAGGCAATGGCTAGGGGGCCCTCCTGTGCCCTCCGGGACCTACCACTTGCCCAGGTCACCCCTGTATGGAGGCCCCTCAGACTCAGCCTGCCCAACTTGGGCTCTGGAGCTGCATTCCTGTGGGGGTCCTGTCCTGGCCCCTGTCTGGTTATTGAGCAGCAGGGGATAAAGGTACCTGGACAAGGAGGTGTCCCAATTTTTCAAGAATGCATCATCCCTGGGCCAAGGGGAGGGGTGAAGAGGGCATCTGGGCCTGCCAGCAGCTGGCCTTGGGACTGAAACCTGGCACATCTGGCCAGGGCTGCCAAGCCGGCCATGGACAGCCTATTTATAGGCTTCATGTCCCTGGCCTTAGCGACAGGGTGGCCCGCCACTCCTCAGAGACCTGAGGCCTCATGCCAAGAAGAGCAGGACAGCTCACTGCCTGGCCCACCCTCCTGCTGTCCTCAGCCCCTCAGGGAGCCTCAAGACTTGCACAAGGCCAGCATGGGCCTGGGGCCTCAGCCTCAACTGCCCAGTGCCTCTTCCATAGGGCTCCATGCCAGCCCCACCCAGGATATCTTCCTTCTGGTTGTGAATGGGTTTTGCCTGCCCTGGGAGCCAGGAGCAGGAAGGGGAAGCCTGCCAGTCTCCACTGAGTGCTGTTTGCTGGGCAGTGGTCTTGCTGAAACAGGCCTGGTAGCTGCCTGTAACATCGCCCCAGGACTGAGGGCTCCCAGGGCAGGCTATGAGCTGGCAGGGGCCGGCCAGTCTGCACAGGAACCAGTCTGGCAGGCTGGGCACCAGGCACTTCCAGGAAGCCCTGCCAGGGAGGGGCCCGGCTCTGCACAGCTGGCTTCACACCCGCCTGGCACCAAGACCAGGCAGCCTGCCCAGGATATGGATAGAGCTTGGGGAGGCCTTCCTCAGGAGTGTCCTGGGTGCCCGGCCTAGCCAGCAGAGGAGGCTGGGAGGAGCCACCTGTGCTTGGCAGGCCCAGGGAAAAGGCAGCGCAGACTACACAGGCAGTGCAGCTCCAGGCTGTGCCCTGGTCACACTGTCCTCTGCTGACTCGTGTCCTGGAGGGTGTGCTGGTTGAGGCCCTGGTTGGGAAGGAGGGATAGACAACTCTCTGCCTCTGGGTCTTTCTCCCTTTCTCCTGTCTGTGTCTCTTTCAGTCCCTCGGTTTTCTGAACCGAGGCTCCATCTTTCATGGCAGTGCCTGCTGGGTGCTCGGTTTGCCCACCATTGCTCAGTAAATATCTGTTCTCTCCTCCCTGGGAGCTCAGGACAGGAGCGGTCACAGGGAGGAGAAAGCCTTTGGCTTCAGACCCCTCCTTGGGACAGGAGCCCCCTGGTGCTGAGGTGGAGGGTGGTTCATGCCCCCTCTGTTAACCTCACGTCCTTGGTTGCCCCTGCCTGTCCCCCAGGGCAGGGAGAGCTTGTTGAGCTTGTTGAGCTATGGCTCTGGGGTCCCAGGCTCCTACCTGGCCTTTGAGCTACTGATTCACAAGGTATCCAGAGGTCCTGCCCTCCTGAGTCTCCAGCCCAGAGGCAGGAATGGTCCTGCTGTGCCCATCAGTGCCAGTCTGGGGAGGATGCCAACTTGGCATGGCTCCTGTCCAGCTGTGCTGGGAGTCAGAAGGTCACAGGGCCTGGCCACCTGGTTCTCCTTGGGGTGTCTGCAGCTGCCCTTTTCTGGACAGAAGGACCTCCCCCTCCCCAGGTGGGACAAGGGGCATGTGACCCCTGGACAGCAGTGAAGCCGCCAGCAGCCTCAGCCTGATCTGGTTCCCTAGTGGTTAGTGCCCAGACCAAGACAGAGGGGCTGAGATGGAGGGCAGCTGGGGCAAGGCCACTCCCTAATGAGATCCCCCCTATCTGGCCCCCAGCCCAGACTCAGCACTTGATCACTAGTTCTGGCTGATGTGGAATGCATGACAGGTGAGAGGCTCCCTGGGGGGACAGGAGGACCCTGGACAGGGCTCACTGGCTGGCAGGCCTGAGCAGTGGGACTGCACCCTCCTTTACCCTTAGAAGGAGCCCCCTTGGGGTTACCAGGACAGTGAGGGGCCCTCGGTATTGGTCCTCAGGCTTCTGCACTACCTCCAGAGGCTTTGGGGCCTGCCTTGCCATGCTCGGTGGGCTGATACATGGACTGGCAGTTGGACACTGTCCCCGTAGACCTTGCTGCCCCCTGGGGTAGTGGAGATGTGGAGCTGTGGGGCCATACATGGCCCTTCTGCTCTATGGCCCTCTTGGGCCTAGTCCTTTGCTTGTAACTTGCCATGGGCCAGTGTCTGTGCCCTGGAGGCAGCTCTACTCAACTCACCGTCTTGTGAGAATTCAGTTTGTGATTGGACTGTGTGGCATGAATGGTGGGCCGGGTAGAAGTGTCTTCTGGCCCCTGTTCTTATGGAGAGCCAGGCCAGTCCTACAGGCTGCAGCCCCCAGAAGGCTGGTGTCCACTGGTGCAGATCCACATGGTCAGGAGAGACGCTGTCTATCCTGGGGGCCCCAGGGCAGGAGCAGGGTGCTGGCATGGCATCTCCAACCCTCAAAGGCCCCACCAAAGAGATGAGACCCCACGGCCTGGTTTCCCGCCCTGGCTGCCAGACACTTGACAGCTCTGAGTGGGAGGAGGCCTTGGTGTCTGTGTGCAGAGGTTTTGCCTTTGGGAAGGCTGCCTGGACTGGACCCCTGCAGAACGAGCCCATTGTCCATGGAAGAGCTGCGAGACCCGCCCGCCTCATCCTGCATGGAGTGACGACTGCCATTTTCTTGCCGTGGGTTTTGTGACTTTAAAAACCATGCATGCTTTGGGGGACTTAAATACCAAAGGATGCCTGGAGACGGGCTGGAAGCAGCAGCTGCTGCCGTCGTCCTTTCCCAGCAACTTTTCCTTCCTAAATTGAAACATCATCTTCTTTGTTTTTCTTTTGACAGAAATGTGGTTTCGTCTTGAAGCGGAAAAAAAGAGTTGCAAAGCATTTCTGTATCCGAATGCGTACTGCACAGAGATGCCCAGAGGCAGTTGCCTGGGGTTAGGCCGCCTGCGACCCCACACGGCCCCCCAGCCAGTATTGGCCCAGCCCTGTGAGGCAGATGACCAGGCTGGGGGAGCCCGTGATGCTCCAGGTGGGTGGAAGGTAGGGGGCCATGAGCCTCTCTGTGACCAGGGTGAAGAGGCCAGAGGCCCACCCCAGGGGCATGGGACAGAGTTAGAACTGGGAGCACCCACAGGGCACCAGGCTCTGGCTGGGAGCTATGGTGACCACCTGGAGGCTGAGAGCTGCTGGTGCCACTCCAGATGGGCTTCATGCCAGGTGGGTGGGGGCAGGTGTGTGGGGGGGGCGGGGACCCATGGGGCAGCAGCCATCCTGCATGTGCAGGGAGCAGTCACTGGTGGGACCTGAAGCGGGGCTGTGACTGGGGACACAGACCAGGGTAGCTGCCGGGGTTTGGACGCCCCTCCTGTGGCTTCATTTCTGTGAGATGGAAGATGAGGGAGGCCAGCAGAGTGGTGGACTGTGTGAGCAGACGGGTAAGTAGCAGGTGTATACGCTAGGAGAGCCCAGAGAAGATGCACCAGGGCCAAAGCAGCTCCATGTCCTTTACTGTCCCAACCAGGTCCATGCACACACTGGGGGGACGGCGCCATGGCCAACCCAGGGGCTGGGGCTGAACACTGGAGCCAGGAAGTGGTGTCACAAACAGACGAGCCCTCTGATAGCACCTTCCAAATGGACAAATGGCCAACTGCCTTGGGTCTCCTTGGCAGCCAGGCAACTGTGAGACACCCCCCTACCAGGTGCCTCTTCCTTACCAGGTTGCCCCAGACAGGAAGCCCTGTGCCTTCCCACTGCTGTCCGAGCCTGACCCACAGGCAGGACTGTGCGAGGAGGACAGTGTCAGGCAGAGGCAGCTGGGCCACTCTATTCCCAGCCCCACCGCCTAGAGAATTCCAGTGCACCCTTCTCTGGACCTGGGGACGTCATGGGTATGGCAGACATGTGGGCCTTGAAGGGCAGCAACCAGAGGCTTGGGTCATGGGGTGCTGAGATGGGGCCCCACCCATGTCCCTCAGGATCCCTGAGACACCCAGTTCAGCGCTAACCAAGAACATGGTCCAGGTCCTCCCCACCTCCACATGCATGTGGAGGTGGGGGAGGGGCCCCACGTGGTGCCAGTCAGAGCTGGTGCCGAACATTTTATTGAAGTCACTGGCCGTGGGGCTTGTGTGCTGGTTCCCACTTCAGGCTGTTTGGGGACACAGAGGATAGACCCCTGGGGGAGGCAGCACGTCCATTCAAGACAAGGGTAGCCTCCGAGAGCCCTCGCTGCTCTTGGGTGCATCGGGGCAGCTGGCCGGCCCCTTGGCCAAGACCCGAAGATGCTTGAAGGCGGTGGGGAGTGTGCGGCCCAGGAATGGAGGGGTGGTCACGTCAGAGATCATGACCACATACTCCCCTGCAAAACAAGGGCTGGGGCTGGTCCTCTGGCTCCTGGCGGCCCTGTCTCCCAGTCCGGGCCCTGCTGTGGGGCCTGCCTGAGGCTCCAGGCCTCCCTCCTCTGCACTGGGAACCCAGGGCCAGGCTGCCATCCTCCTGGAGCTGCGTGCCCGGGCAGTGAGGTAAAGACATAGACTCGGGGTGAAGGAAGCCGCCTCTGGAGACTCAGGGCTCTCCAGGCCCCAGGCTGCTGCAGACCCGGCCCCCACCTGCTGATCAGGCCCCATGGCTGAGAGGTTCTTTTTGGAAATAGTTTCCTACGCTTTTTGGAGAAAGAGACTTCATTCCATCTAAATGTTTAAGAAATGGCCAGACCTCTGAAGGCACTCTGCGCCCGGGCTGGTGCTGAAGCCCCCGCCGAAGCCCGGGTGTGGGGAAGGGGCCGGCTTGGGCTCTGCTGGGGGTTTGGGAGAAGGAAAAATACTTTTCCTTTCTGCAGTCTGAGAACTGTCTGGAGAGCTTCAAAGTTGGAGAAACCATAAAAAAGAAAATAAGAAACAACAAAAAGGGGGTTGCCATAGCAACGGTCCTCTCCCCCTCCCCTGAGCCCGCAGGGCTGGCACCGGAGTGTGGAAAAAGCTCTCTAGGCTGGCCCAGGCTCACACCGGGAATGTGGCCACAGCTGAAATGGGGGCAGGAGTCGGCTCACACCGCAGAGCAGAGCGACATTCCAGACGCCCGGCCTGGAAAACGCGCGTGCGGTTACCCTCAGCCTGGCCGGCCCAGGGCTGTGCATTCCTGGGGCAAGACGAATGGGCCTCAGGGGCCGGAGGAATTTGCTCAGCCCCCTGAGTCAGTTCCTTCAGAAAAACCACGGTTCTGGGGTGGGGGAGGCCGCCAGCCAGGGCTGGTGTACCTGGGGAGGGGACCTGTGCTTCGCAACCTGGGGGCCAGAGGCAGCCAAGCCTTGTGGGGGGCGGGGGGCGCTGCAGGGAGAGCCATGCATAGCGACGCCATGGTGTTCCCAAGCAGCCTCGTCTCTAGGCGTTCCCAAGAACACAGCTGCACAGCAGCAGCCAAGGGCGCTGGCCAGGGAAGCCGGCGTGAGCTCAGCGGGCAGCAGCCATGGACGCGGGCTGCAGGCCTGATCTGACCCCGTTCCTGAGGTCCACCACTGTTAGATGGCAACAGCTGCGCAGGAGTCCCTGACACTACCTCGTCCAGGCGTGGGCCCTGGCCTGGTGTCCCTCTGGCCAGCTCTTGCCCAGGGGCTTGGCCAGCACCTGGCTTCACCCCCAAGTCTGAATACCCAGCGCCTTCACTGCCTCGAGCTGTAACAGCCCTGGAAATAAGCTCCTAGCCAGCGACCCTTCCTCTGGGGCCCGCAGACTCCTCTCGATGCCCAAAAGGGAGGTGAGGCCCCTCCCAAGAGCAGGGTGCTCCTCCCCGGCGGCTTCTCCTCCAGAGCCACACACCAGGGCTTCTGTGGCGCCAGCCTGTTGGCTCCGCAGTGGGCATCATGAGGGCTGCTATTGGGATAGTCCAGAGGCTGCCCAGAGCTCTGGCTCTTCCCTCTGCACGGACCTTTCCAGAGCAGACAGCCAGCAGGGGCTGCAGGCCCAGGACGGTGGTGGCCTGGCTAACCCTCGCCTCAGGGCCCTGCCAGCTCTCCTAGCTGTGGAAGGGGGTCAACTTCTTCACTGCCCAAGACCCCATTAGAGGTAGTCCTGGATCTCAAAGCCTGCTGGTCTTCCATGAGGACCCGGGAGATGGCAGGACAAGGGTCATTTTTTGTTGGCCAAGCAGACAGAGAGACACCTATTCTCTCATGTGGTCACATGTCAGCCTCCCAGCATCCAGGCAGTTCTAAGGGTCAGCACCTTGTCTGTTGAAGATGTTACTGTCCTGTGTCCTGATGAAGCGGCAGGCCTTTGCCCCTCAGGTTTTCTAAGTCTTGTGGACCCTTGGGCACAGAGGGTGGGACCCCAGCCCAGGCTCCTGGCTGAGCCCCAGGACTGAAAGCAACTTTGCAGGAGGGGTTCCTTGGCCTAAGAGTCTCTAGCCAACCCCTGCTCCGGCTCTGCACTGTCCCTGGAGTCAGGCGGGCAAACAGGCAGGAACTTGGTGCTGGGGGGCAGAAGAGTATCTTCAGGGGCCTGAGACTGGCCCTCTTCTTCCCAGACCTCCCAGGCCCTACTGCTGCTAGCCTTGCTATAGTCTCAATCTTTGCCAGTTTGGCCACCAAAGGCTTTGGCAGCTGCTCCACCTCAGCCACCCAAGGACCCTGCTCAGGCTGTCACTCCCTCACACCACCCAGCTCCCTCCTTTCTGGAGTACTCTCCTCATCAAGTGCTGTGACCCACTCACCTCTAACTCTTCCTGGACGCTAAGCTCCCCATACCCCAAACCCTCAACCCGCGTGCCTACGAGTTGACGGCCCTCCAATTGTCTCTGTGGAGCCGGGGTGGTGTGCTCTTCTCCCATACCCTCCTTTGCAGGGAACAATGCCTGTCACCCCAGAAGGTGTCTGCCTCTCCAGATGTGAACACAGTGGTGCTGGGTTCTGACTGTGGGCACAGCTGTCTGCCTACCTGGGTACGCAGCTGGCACTGGCTCTGCCGTGGTCCCATCAGGCCTATGGGGAGAAGAAGAGAGGCCCCTGAGTATTCTGCCTGGGTCCCTTGGTATATTACGTCTCCCCCAAAGCAGGTTGAACAGCTCCAGGGCTCTAGGACGGCAGAGACCTGCAACCTCTAGCTGTGTGTGCCAAAGGTTCTGAGGGCCCCTCCTTCGCCTTCGGAGGCAGCAGGTTCACACCCCTCCAGCTTTGGCTGTGGGTCCACACCCGGAGAGTCTATCTACTCTCTTCTCCTCTGACCCCCAGCCTCACTGAACCCTTTGTCTAATTCCTGGTGAGCCCAGGGCGCCTCACTGCTTCTCTTTGAACATTGGAGGCTCCTGGGGCAGAGGACCGTGTTTGGCACTTGTCAGAAAATAGCTGAGTCCCAAAACCTGTTTGGAAGCTACCAAAAAGTGCCATTATCCAGCAAGAAGTGACCTGGGGAAACTGGTGTGGGCAGGGCAGTGAGGCACCAAAGTGCCGTCTTGAGGAAAAAAAGGCCAGTGTTATCTGGGAGCCTCCTGAGTGGAGAATGGGGAGGGGACCAGGAAAGATGGGAAGGTGGGTGGTCCCTCCCTGGACCTCCCTGTCTGGAGATGGCTTCCATATTTGAGGGATGGAGACCCTCACTTCTGACCACTGCTTCCATGGCAGACCCTACACCGTCTCCCGAGGTGGGCACAGCCCCTGAGGCAGGCTTCAGGCCTGAGGTCCCATGAAGGCGGCACCGGGGCCCATTCACACAATCTTTGATCTGCAGCAAGTAATGGGCTAGTACAGCCTGTTCAGACACACCTTGCAGGTGTCCAGGGCAGGTCACCTGTGGGGAGGACTTGGCCAGGCTCCCACTGAGGAAGTGTGGCTGGCCACATGTGACAAAGTGGAACCCTCTGGCACACACCATCCATCTGTGCTCCTGAATGGAGCTCTCATCCTCTCCTGCCTCCCAGTACCAGTACTGAAGGGGCTGGCTTGGTGTGGACACCCAGTCTGAATCCCTAGTGTTGGGCTGGACTGGCCTGGATGATCAGTCTAAATGGATCTGGGAAGCCCTGAAGGCTGGTGCTGTTAGGGGCTTCCTTTCCCAGGCCCTCTGTCATTCCTGGTCTTAGGTGGCCAAGAGCCAGCACAAAGCTGGGGCAGAGAGCCGAGGGCCCCCTGGTGCAGGCAGGGCTCAGACACTGGCCAGATTCTGACCCCTTGACAAACTGAAATACCACGTGCATGGTTTGTGTGTTAAAAAATTAAAGATAGCCAGGCACTGGTGGCTCATGCCTGTAATCCTACCTATTCAGGGGGCAGAGATCAGGAGGATCGCAGTTTGAAGCCAGCATGGGCAAATAGTTCCACATGACCGTATTGCAACAAAATCCTTCGCAGAAAAGGGCTCGTGGAGTGGCTCAAGGTGTAGGCCCTGAGTTCAAGCCCCAGTACCGTAAAAAATAAAAAATAAATAGAAACGAGAGATTTTGAAATTACTTCCTGGTGGGGAGGTGGGACAGGCGGGCCTGGGCTGGGGCCTCAGGAGTCGAATTAAGGACTGTGAAGTGGGGGTAAGTAGGGAAAGTGAGATAAATAATTTAGCACCAAGAATAACTGGAGTCTGCCAGGCTGGCAGCTTTAAGAGAAATAAACGGGATTACAAGAATCCTGGGAGTTTTTAGAGACCCCCCCCCCAGGGCTTTGAGGACAGAGGCAGAGCCAGGAAGGAGTGGGCCTCTCGGGTGAGGAGCTCCTGGGGCCAGTGATCAATGGAGCAGCAGTGGGCAGACATGTGGTTAGGCCTGAGCCTCAGACCTGAGCACGGACCCAGCTGAGAGGGGACCAGCACGCTGAAGCACCCAGAAGCCATGTGAGAAAGGGGCTCCTGTTACCCCAGAGACATACAATGGGCACCAACTGTGTGCACAGCACCGGCTCAGCAGGAGAGATGAAGGCAGGTCTGCTGACGGCCACCTCTCAGAGCCCAGCTGAACAGAAAGCAGTCTAGAACTGGGCAGGGAGGGGCTGAAGCTGGGCTGGTGTCTAGGGTAAGCTCAGAGCTCCTCATCCTGCATGTCCCCTCCCGCCCTTTTTTTTTGGGGGGTGGGGCAGTACAAGAGTTCGAACACAGGGCTTCATGCTTGCTAGGCAGGTGGGTGCTCTACCACTTGAGCCACTCTGCCAGCTTTTTTTTGTGTTGGTATTTTCAAGATAGGATCTCACAAAGTATTTGACCAGGCTGGCTTTGAACTATGATCCTTCTGATCTCTGCCTCCAGAATATCTAGGATTACAGGTGTGAGCCACCAGTGCTCAGCACTTAAGACTCCTTCCTTCCTTCCTTCCCTCCCTCCCTTCTGGGGTTTAAACTCAGGGCCTTATAATTTCTAGACAGCCGCTCCACCATAGTGGAGTTTATAGGATAAATTTTTATTTTTCATCAAATTTTTTTTAAAATGCCCTAATGAAAAGGCTTGGCTATCATTGTGTGTGTGTGTGTGTGTGTGTTTGTTGTTGAGACAGGTATTACTGTGTAGCCCTGGTGGGCCTTGAACTCTAAATCTTCCTGCCTCAGCCTCCTGAGTGCTGGGACTACAGGTGTGGCTACCACACCCGACTCTGTCTCTTCAAGTCTTTTCTCTGCCTCTCCTCTGCCTGTTTGGGGTCTCCAGCTTCAGGTGTGTTCAGCTGCTTGGGTGGTGTCACCGACAGTAACACACTCATCCTGCCTTTCCATAGGCTGTGTCCCCAGCTCTACCCACTGTCCCTTCTTCCCAAAGTTTTCACCTTGGAGATGGCAGTTTTTCATTCTTGCAAGCTGTTTTGTTTGGTTGTTTTTTTTGTGGGGCTGAGGATGGACCCAGGGCTCCATGATGCCAGGCATGCACTCCTCACTGACCTGACACCAGCCTGAACCTGCGGGGTCGACTTCTTAATACTTCCCAGGGCTCTGCCTGCCATGTCCAGTTGCAGCTGTCCTGTGCCCTTACCTGTTGATTCTCCTTCCTGCTGTGTCATTGCAGGGTTGGTTCGGAGGGGTTTTCCTTTTCCTTGTGGGTTGGATTTCCCTGAATTCTTCTGGCTTGGTGATGTCCTTTCTTTTTGTAGTGCTGGGGATGGCACCCAGGGCTTTCTTCTTGTAGGTGCTGGGTGAGCACTTTGCCACTGAGCCACACCCACGCCCTTGGCGATCTTTGATTGGATGCCAGACTTTGCTGACTTTACCTTCTTAGGGTACCTTCGTGCCCCTGTGGGTAGTTTTGACGTTGTTTAGTTATTTACAGACAGTTCGATCTTCTCGGTCTTGCTGTCAAAGTTTGTTGGGTGGTATTTAATATAGGGTTAATTATTCCAAACTACTGAGAAGGACCTTCTGAGTGCCCTGCTGGCGCTCTGCACACTCAGGAGTTCCCCGCGTGGCACTTCCGCCTTGGATGAGCTCTGCAGTCTCCCCCTCGTCCTGAGGGTGGTTCTCTCCTGGTCTCTCAGGATGATCTGGGCTCAGCTGACCACAGGGCTCATCCTGCACCCCGGCTTCCCCAGGAGAGACCCACGAACTCACCTGGGTCCCTCTCTCGGCAACACAGCCTGGAGATTCTTTTGTTTTGGTGGTGGTGCTGGGGTTTGAACTCAGGGTTGTTTCACTCCTGCAAAGTGGGCACTCTACCACTTGGCTCACACCTCCAGTCCATTTTGCTCTGGTGATTTTGTAGATGGGTCTTGTGAACCATGGGGCTGGCCTTGAACTTCAATCCTCCCGATCTCAGCCTCCCAAGTAGCTAGGGTTTCAGGGCAGCTCTCAGAGAAGCTGGCTGAACCCTTCCGGTCTGCTTGCAGGGGCTTCTGCAGCCCCAGCAGGGCCCATGCCAAAGTTCCAGACTTAGAATTAGTCAGCCAGTCATGGCGGCCCCAGTTCAGGGCCAAGTTGGAAACAGCCCCAGGAGAGGACCAGAGGCCATGGTGGCCTGAGCTCTAGGTGAGTGACAGCAGTCCCACAGCCTTGCAGGGGCTGACATCAGCCTTCTGCTCCTCCTCCAGAGGATGGCCTGTGCACTGGCACTCAGGCTGGGCAGGGCACGGGGGTCATGGTGCCACATGACCCCTCCCATAAGCCCGCCCCCCACTCCCAATGCAGGGTTCAGCACAGTCCTAACACAGCTGCAGCTGTCTCAGGCAAAGAGAGTCGAAGCTTAGTGACCTCTTAGCCCTGGGCCTGGGGAGAAGAACCCTGTCCCCAGTGGGCAGGCAGTCACCCTGGTCGCTCTCCGGGACCCTCGGCAGTGGGTGTGTGAGGGTTAAGTCTGCCCAGTGCCCTGCATCACCTCCATCTGCCCTGGGTTGTTAAGTCTGCCCAGTGCCCTGCATCACCTCCATCTGCCCTGGGTTGTTAAGTCTGCCCAGTGCCCTGCATCACCTCCATCTGCCCTGGGTTGTTAAGTCTGCCCAGTGCCCTGCATCACCTCCATCTGCCCTGGGTTGTTATTCCAATGCTGTGCCAGGCAGGAAACATCTCTGGTGCCCGGGGATTAGGCACCAGGCGTCGGCTCATCCGGGGGCCCAGCTGCTCCTGCCTGGCCCTCACACCTGCTTAGGTTTATTATTTCTGCTTGGACATGACAGGGCTCAAAGTTTCTAAACGGGTAAGAACCCAGGCAACCCTTCTTTGGTTTTCCCTGAGCTCCCACTCACAGGAGCCACCCACAGGGTGAGGGTGCTCACTCTGGGAGGGTCAGCAAGGTGGGGGACAGCAGCCATGAGGCAGCAGGGGCCCTAGGCGGCCTTGGGGCCTTATGGCCGTACCCCACAAGACATCTTGTCATTCCCTTCCGGTACTTGACTGAGGGTCCCGACACTCTCAAGTCCCTCAGCATCCCAGGAGGGCCTGGCCCCCAGCCCTGCCAGAGACAAACCCACCCCTCCCCTAGGCTAGGCCTGGCCTCAGACCCCCCCCAGTGCCTTGCAGCCAACCTCGTGGGAGCCTCGGCTGGGACAGAGTAAGACCCACTGCTCACACGCATGTGCCCCTCAGGACTTTGCTTGGTGACAGAAGGCAGGATGTGTGCACTCAGGGTGGGGCCACCCTCTTTCAGGAGGCCTGTGGGCGTATGTAGGATAGTTAGGGACAGTCCTCCAGCAGGAGGCTCAGGAAGGCTAGGGGCCTGGCCAGGGCCTGGGGGTATCAATTCAAAAGAATTTGCCCAGTCCTGGTGGCTAGCACCTGTGGTCCTAGCTATTCAGAAGGAAGAGATCAGGAGGATTGTGGTTCGAGGACAGTCGGGCCAAAAAAACCCAAACAAACAAAAGCCCTGAGACCCTATCTCAAAAATACCCAACACAAAAAGGACTGGTGGACCAGGGTGCCAGTGGCTCATGCCTGTAGTTCTAGATACTTGGGAAGCTCAGATTGGGAGGATCAAGGTTTGAAGTCAGTCTAGGCAAACAGTTCAAGAGACTGTATCTCCAAAATAACCAGAGCAAAATGGACTTGAGGCTGGCCGGACACGTGACCTAGTGGCAAGTCGGGGCAGTTCAACGGCTGGTTGCATTAGTTGGAGGTTGTGAGTTCTGGTGCAGTGGGAGTGCCCGGGAAGGCTGCCCATTTCCATGTCCACTGCGTTTGCTGGGGCGGGGTGAGGACGTTGTTCACGAGCCCAGAAAGGAGCCGTGAAGCTGTTTCTGGATGCCACACCTCCACCCCACACCTGGGGGCCTCTTCATGGGGACTTGCACACCTTGGCTGTGCTCTGTGGGGCGCTGTGCATCTTCCATGACTCCAGCTGCATGGCTACTTTACAGGCTGTGATCACAGCCTACTGATCAGGGCGCATGATCAAAGAAAGGGCTTGGTGCCACCCCTGCTATGTCCTCTTCAGGGTCCCAGAGCCTGATGGGCTGGGTGCTTGACTGGATTTCTACCCAAAGCATCTCCAGGCATTGGTGGGGCCTGTGGCCAGCTGGAGACCTCTCTCAGGCTGTTCTTGTGACATGGTCTCTTCTGGCACACGAGTCATTGGCCAATCCCCAGGCTTGGCGTGAGGGGAGCTCAGCGTCCTGTATCTCCCCACCAGGAGGGCGCTCAGTGCTGGTGCTGCCCGCTGCCTTTCAAGGGGACAAAAGGCTCCTGTCAGGTGCACAGTGGTCACCCGAGGCTGGCCTGGAGGGGCTGTGCAGGCTGCTGAACATCAAGTGTCTTTTCAAGTAAAAAAAAAAAAATTAATTGACTCCATCTGTGTTGGCCTAATGACTGATTAAATGACTAATCATGGAAGTCTTAATTAAACCCATTTTTCTCTGAGCCAAAGAGGGAGGAGGGGCTCTGATGGCCCCCAGTGTGTGTCAGGCACCGGGTGAGCAGGACGTTTTGCTGAGAGTCGCCAGTGAGCAGTTACGCTCAAGGCTGTCTGCTGTCAACTTCCCCAAAACATCATGGGGCATTTGGATCCCTTCTCTGGGCCACAGGGTGGCAAGCAATTACATTTTTTTGATCACAAAGCACACAATTAGGATTTCTGGGGGAACACGACCAGAGCTGCCCCCCCATTCTATGGAATGCTGTGACGTGGCTGGACAAATCCACAGCCACATTTTTAAATCAAGTCTATCTTTTGCAGCTGACACAAGGTCACATCACTCAGGGGCTGACAGGGCCTTTGTCGTGTTGTGAGATTCCGTGACAGGCCTGGAATGGCTCCGAAGGAAACGCGTTCTTGCTTGGGGAAGCAGGCAGTGGAGGGCCATCACTCCACTTGCCTGAGAGGGCAACCCTCTCACACTGCATTTCCCTTCACACTCGCATCGGGCGTCCACGTGGCACATGGGGAGACAACTCAGGGACCAGACTTTAAGAGTGTGAACCAGCCACTTACGTAACAAAAGCAAAAACTTTCCAAGCCCCAGAACTCCTCTCCTTGTCCTGTGGCCATGACAGTATAGGTTCCAGGCTTGAGCCCACAGGGTATGGCCTGCTGCCAGCAAATCCCCGACCCCAACACCTCATCAGAAGCAGGGCCAGGCCTGGACCACTTATCGGTGCTTGCAGGGTCCTCAAATAGGCTCCCTCCTTTTTGGCTGCCCAGTACAGGGGTGACCGGCCAGCCTCTGTGCACAGGGCCAGCACATCTGTAGAGGGGCAGCTAGCACCAGCCTCTGTGCTCACAAAACCCATGCTCACGTGGGGTCCTTTGCCTCCCATTCCTCTACACGAGTGACTGTTTTTATGAAGCATAAAGGTAATTTTTCTTAGACAAAGGAGACAGTTCCTAAGAGCCGGAGGAGTTGCTTAACTGGTAGAGCACCTGCCTAGTAAGCAAGCATGAGGCCCTGAGTTCAATCTCCAGTACCATACACACACACACACAAAAGGTGTTCCAGAATCATGCCTGAAAGCTGTGGCAGAGAGCAGATTCTGGAAGGTCCTGACCTTTATGTGCAAATCAGACCCCCATGTGCCCCTGTGCTCCTTTCTCCCTCTTTCTGTTGCTTAAGTCCCCTGCTGACAATGCTAGCTAATGTGGGCAAAGATGGGTTCAGATAGAGCTAACAAATGAGGTTTGCTCACTTTCAGGGCTCACCAGAAGGTGACCAGGTACAGAAGGCCAATTGGGGCCTGACCCTCCCCAGGGCACCCACTGGTCCCTGGTGGACACTAAGGGGGGGTTCTTGTTTGCAGGACCACCAGGGGGTGTGTGGACCCTGTTGTTTGAGGACAGAAGAGTCCTCAGAGCAGTAATCTTGGCATGTCCCTATTCCCCAGCCCCATGGCCTGGCTACCCTTCACCACAGATCACAGGCAGCAGCAGCAGAGGGAATGCAACCTGCCTTCGGGTCACCTGAGGTGGGAGGGTAGCCACTTGAACTCAGTGGCTTCTCCCACTCTCCCCAGCCCTTGGGCCTGGGGCTGGACACCTAGAGGCCTAGAAGGCCAGCTCCTTCATGTCAGCTGGGATTCAACGTCTCATGGAGGACGGGGCTCTTTGTCCAGACACTGAACACTTCTCAGCCCAGGACTGGCCCTGATGACTAGCCCTTGCTGGCCACTAGTGGATCTCAGCTGCCCTGGGGCGAGAGGGTCTGACAGCTCGGCTCAGGCCACTGGCAGCAGGGTTTTTAAGGGAGGAAGAATTCTCAGCACTCTGAAGCCCCTTAGTGGGAATGCCCTCTGCCTTTGCTGAACTGAGATGTTTCCACGTCACTCTCAGCTGTGGCGCTGCCACTGCTCCGGGATGAGCGGAAGCAAGGCCTGGGGCCTTGGGGTGCACACTGATATGACCTCAGCATGCTCAGCTGTCTGCGCTCACATCCGCTCTCCAGAGGAAACACTGGGCGGGTGGGGTTCTCCACGTTGGCCGGAACTCGGCTGTTTTTTAAGTCTGCCTCGGCTGTGGTATAAACGAGCTTCATCTTGATTCACAAGCTGTGACTCAGAACAGCACGGGATGGCACCTCCCTCGGGAAGCAGCTCCTGTCCTAGCGCCGCCTCGAAAGGGGCATCAAAGGCTTGTCAGCTTGCCAACACCTCGACAGCCTCCAGTTCCCAGCTCATCCCACGCCCGCCTCATCACCAGCAGGCAATCGAACTGCAGCAGCTTCAGCAGGCAGCAGGCGCTTAGGCCACAGCCACTGGCTCTCCTTCCAGTCCTGCCAAATGCCATCTTCTCCTGGAGTTTCACTGTTGCGTCTGGGCCCTGGGCCTCCGCTCTGGGCATGGTTATTTCAACTGGAGCCCTAAGCTGGCTACGGAGGCATTTGAGCTCCTGTTTGCTGGATGGGTCAGAAGGCTGATAGAGTCCTGCAGGTCAGAGACCTGGCGCTGGTAACGCACAACATCTGGGAACACCTCTCTCCATCTCTGCTCCCCACCCCCAGCTCTTCTCTGGACACTCCGGGCGATGCACTCCTTCCCACCCACTGCCGACCAATGGCTCACTGTGTCCTGTCTGGGGAGGGAGGGCTTGTGTCTCTCAAGAGAGGGTGATTTGAGGGCTGGAGGTACGGCTCGGAGGTGGAGTGTTTGTCTGACATGTGCGAGGCCCTGGGTTCGATCCTTAGCACCACAACACAACAGAGTGGGTGATTTTTCCCTTGGGGTCATGCACTGTGTTGCCAGGATATCCTGCTCCAATTATATCCCAAACTTCACAGCTTCCACTCTCTAAGGGACCCCCAACCTCCTCCACTGTTTGTGGATCAGTTTGCAGGTGCTGGGGGTGGAGGGGCCCAACCTGCCTGAGCCGCCTGAGCTGTCTGTCCCAGCAGGATGGATGAGACCAGCCACGATGTCTTCCTGAGGCTGCATAGGGGTATCTCCATGGTGTGACAAGCCCCTCTCTGATTTTTCAGACTTGGTTTGGGAAAGTAATGGCTGTCCTTCCAGCTCCCATTCCTCAGTTTCTTCTCCTCCTTTGAACTGAGGCTGGTTATAGCACCTGGCATTGATGTGCCCTCCCCCAACCGATTTAGAATGTCAAGAAAATGTGACCCTTCTGTGAGCCCCCCATGGACACCCCCACCCTCACATTGGGCCTCTCCAGCCTGACCGTGGTTGGCTGCCACCTTGCTCTGAGGCACCTGTGGCCTCTCTCCTGCTGCTACCTCCATAAGCTTCCCTGGGCTCCAACTGGAGCTGGGTACAGAGTTTGTGGTAATGGGCCGCAGGAGGTAGACCATTCCCTGCTGCCCACCTCAGGCCCAGCTGGGTGGGCTGCCGAGGGGACAACCACCAGGCATAGGAACATAGGTGGGGGCTGTGCTCTGCTGCCTCATCCTCTGAAGAGAGACCCCTTGAGCGGTGTGACGTCTCCTAGACCAGGCCTGTGGGCTCCTCCCCATCATTGTCTGTGGTACCCTCTGTCTTGCAGGCCTGGGGGAAACTGAGGCATGTGTGTCCAAAGGGGCCGTGCCCAGGGGTGGTCAAAGCCCAAGGCCCCCACCCAGGACCAGAGTCAATCTCATGAAACGCTATGAAAGGGTCCACCTCTCCTACCTGCTGCCTCCTGGGGGCTCCTGGGCATTCGGCCTTCTTCTCACGGGGCACAGGCCCTCCCTGGGTCTGCTGCAGGCCTTCTGGAGAGTCAGGTGCAGGGAAAAAGGAGTCAGCTCAGGAATCTGGCTGGAGATCTGGCCAGAAGCTGGTGGAGGCAGTGGGGGCTGAGCAACTGGGGGGGCCTCCCATGACCTCAGGGCCTACCTCGGGGTCACTGGGCAGGAACAGGAAGGGCTGGAGCCTGGGTGGAGGGGGCCCAAGGAAGACATCCACAAACTCAGCATGGCCGTACTCCACTCGCTGACAGGCCTCAGGATTACTGGACTCACATCCCCTGGCTGAGGAGAGATTTTCCCCAGAAAAATGAAGGAAAGAAGAAAAGAAAGACCCTTTGAGCCTTGAGGCAGAGGTGGGAAAGACCCTTTCCTGTGTCTCTGGGGCTTGGGCAGCCACATGGGCAGGGAGCCAGCTCCAGGGCACTGGCCACACACCACTTCCAGGTGAGTGGACAGTGGGCACGAGGTGGAGCCTGGTTAGGGATGGAAGACCAGCCCAAATGGAGACAGGGCAGTGTGGACAGCATAGCACAGACAGGGCCATGTGGACAGGGCAGGACTGACAGGGCAGTGTGAACAGTGCAGGCATGGTAGTGGGTGGACTAGGGGATCCACCCATCAAAGCTTCCTGCTCCTCCTCTGGGGCCAGCATGGATCCCTGGGATTGGGAAGGTCTCCCACCCCAAACCCCCAGCAGCTGAGATGCCTACCCAGGGCTGGGCAGGGATGCTCGGCCCCACAAGGCTGAGTGGCCGGCCTTTTCTCAACACAGCGTGAGGAGAGAAACTTCTCATGAGCCCCAACCACAGCAAGCGTGGGGTGCAGAAACCGCTGGTAATCACAAGCCCTGCTTGGGCAACAGCCCTGAGATCCCAAGAATGGCAGAGGGCTTGTCTTCCATACAGACCTTGCTTCTGGCTCTCAGCCCTTCCTCTCACAGACTCCCAAGGCATGGGGGACAGGGGCATTTGCCCCTGGTTCCACCCTACCATGGATGGAGCTGCACCCCCAACCTTCCCATCTCTTTTACATAGAAAGTCAGTGAATGACCCCAAAGGTTACTGCAGGGTCTCCTGGGACCCCCAAACACACACACACACACACACACACACACACACGCACGCGCACGCACGCACACGCACACGCACACACACACCAGTACCCACTTTCCTACATAGGATGGGCTCCAGGGTCCTCCTGATGGCCCCACTAGGGTCTCCTGCCACCTTGTACACACCATTGGGGAGGAGGCTCATGCAGGGGCCAATGGGGCTCAGTGGGGCTGGGGTGAGTGAAGGGACACTGGTGCGCTGGGTGGACCATGGGGCTGCAGGCATTAATTCCCCTTCCCTAGAGCCCAACTTCTGTAGGGAGCTGGGCCGCAGAAGTATTTCCAAATCACAGGTGGAGAATTATCTCCTTCAGAGGTGTCTTAACTTCGTCTACGGTGCATCATAAAATGTCTTTGATTCTGCAAGGACATTTCTTAGCTAATACCTTACCCCCCTCATCTCTGCTGTCCCTGCCCGGCTGACATCCTGGGCAATGACTGGGAACCGTGCTGCTGATGGCAGGATTTCCACCTCTTAATGCACCGACAGCAGTGAGTGCTAACTCCACTCCCTCCTTTATGGACAACTGGCGGCAAAGAAGCCAGTTTCTTAATGAGCCTGCAGCAGGGTGACCACTTGGTGGCCCCGGATTGGGCGCACTAAGGACACATGGCTCACCACAGCAGCAGTTGAGGCCTTGACCTGCCATGTGTCATTTGATTGGAAGGTGCCCTTAAAAACCCCGCAAGCAATCCTGGTGGACAAATAAATGTGCATCCAGGCTAAGCCCAAAGAGTGTCCACCTCCCTTGGGCTGGAAGGTTCTGACCACACGGTTAAAGAGGAGTCTTTTCCTGAAAATCACAGCAGCTGGTGTCTATGGGGCGCCAACTTGGTGCCAAGCTTTTGGCAGATCTCATGAAGTCGTGGACTTGAGGCTGTCACTATTGTCACATGGCTGCTGAGACAGGTTTGTGTTAGCTACTGACAGCACGCACATTAGCAGGGTCAGCTCGGCAGGACCAGGGCACAGAGGGTCAGGGCCACAGGAAGTCTCGTTCTTCCAGCCCACGTGGGTTTGACACTTGAGGCCACTAACTGGACAAGCGGTAGACGATCCCCCCGCCCATGACCCGTGTGAGGGTAAGAGAAAAAGGCTTTTTGGACTGGTCACAGCCCTTTTCACTACAAATGAGGGAAACCCAACAAGAAATGGCTTAAATAAAGACAGGATCCCGTCGTAGGTGGGAACCTCTAGCTCCAGGCACATTTGGGTCCAGGAGTCCCTGCTATATCCCCTCTTTGAACTATCACTTCTTCCCTCAAACTCTGACTGAGGCCACCTGACCACATGGACCTGGCAGGTGGTGCCATTCTGCTGTCTGACGGATGGCTAGAGCAGTGGAGGTGTCAGCTGAGCTGCTGGGATTGTCCGGATATGAGGGACAAGGCTGCTTCCAGATCACTTGCCGAGATACCCATTTTCCAAGTCGACCACGCTGACCTTGCCAGGCTCATGCTCCAGCTGTTTTCCCCACCTCTGCCGTCCCCACTTGCTAGTCTCACGTGCATCTCAGATGCAACTGGCACCCCGCCCCAGGCACCGAAGCCAGAAGCTGAAAGTCAGCCCCAGGCGTCCCTGCCCTGCCCCTAGGACCCTCACAATTTTTGCTGCTGCCATAGCTGTAAGGACACCAATTAGACTTCCAGATACTTCTGCATTGGAGTCCACCAAGGTTATATCCTTGGCCAGGCCACCCTTGCTGGGCCCAGATGCATCATCTCAGCTAGACTACACCCCTGGCCCTCGTCCCCTCTGTCCACACCCACAGGGCAGCCAGGCCAACCTTTCTCTGCTGAGAGCTCCTCTTATTGCCCCTGAAGAGTGGCCCCCACACCCTGTCCATCTGCTGGACACCGCATGACTTGCCAAGCTCATCTGACCTCTCTTGGCACATGCTGACCCCATCCTTGGACACCCCCTCCTGCTCACCTCCTTCATCTCTTCCATTGCTGGACAGCTGGTTGGTCCCTTGGCAGACCTTTGCTCTACAGAGTGCTTTCCAGACAGGCTCAGCTTGCTGTCCCGGCTACCCCCTCCTACCACAGCCCTGTAAGTCATTCGGTGGACAGCACCTGTGGAGGAGAGGCTCAAGACCTGTGGTGCAAGGTGAGCAGCATCCAGAAACCTGGACCAGGTATAGGCCCCTTTAAAGGAAATGGGGACACATGGAGGGCTCGGCCAGCGGAGGTGGCCCTGCGGACACTGCTCACCTGAGTGAGGTGAAACGCATTCGAAGGTGTTCTCTGCTGAGAGCTGGAACATGCTCCCCAGTCAGGCTTCTCCACCTTCTCTATCCAGGTTTTGTGAGAACCTGGGCCATGTCCTCACTGTCGGCTACTAAGGCACTGCCCCCCCATGGCCTCTGTGCTGCTGACACCCTTTCTTGGCTGGGCACCTCACTTCCCACAGAGGTAAGTACCACATTCACCCAGAAGAGCCCCCAACTCCTGCCTCCTGGGGGCTGGATCTCTGCCCAGCTTCCTGCAGATAGAAACCTGCACACTGTCCCCAAGACGTCCATTCACTGCTGCATGGGAACCTGGTCTCCCAATCCCCTCCTCTACCTGGTTGCTCAGTTCTTTCCCTCCCTTCACAAATGTTCCTCTTCCCTCCCAGTTCTCCCCAAACCTCTCCCCACCCTTCTCCTAGTGGGCAGCTCCACAGCTGCATCCTGGGGTTCAGGCCACCACTATTTGCAGCTGGGGTGACTGCAATGGTCTCACTTGTTCTCTCAGCCCCCACTCTGTCCTGTAACCCATTTTTAACCCCAGCACACTAGTGGCTCAGGCTATCGGTGAGACCCTGGGCTCACCTGACTGACACCTGCCTGGTGGGCACAAGTGAAACCTTCTTCTGGCTGCAGACCCGATGGACCTCTCCCTCCCAGTTATCTGTGTCCTCCCACCCACAGTTTTGCAGTGGCACACCCCAAAACCTCCATGCCTGTGGCCCTAGGATTGAAATCCTTCCCTTCTGCACACTGGGTCTTCTCATTCTTTTGTCTGTGGTAGAGGCCCTGGGGTTTCAGGTAACCCCAGGGCCTCTCTTTTATTCCCTACTGGGCCTCTTCCTCCCCTTCTGTCAGGCAATGTGCACATCCTGTCTCTTCACTGAGGCACACCGCGGGCATCTGGGGATGCTGCTGGTAGTGTCACGGCCAGGTGTCCCTGCTACAACACCCTTGCACTGCCCGTCTGAAGACTTGGCCATATTAAGCCAAACTACAGAAAAGAAAATGCTAATGAAGTAAGTGCCCCCAAAGGCATTAAAACCTGGCTTCAGAGGAAAGATCAGCTGCAGACAGCACTGCATGTACTCTGTGGATGAGGGAAGAGGGAAATGTCAATAGGATTTTCTCCATCTTTTAGTCACCACCAGCCTGGGGCCCCATCCAAATGCTGGAGGTTGCCTACTTAAGCCAGCGTGAAGCCTTGAGTTCAAACTCCAGTACCGCCAAAACAAAATAAAAACAAGGCTGGAGGGGACACATTTGGGTAAATCATTCCAACTCTGCCCTGTATAGGCCCCCAGGGAGCAAGCCAAGACAGAGGGGTGACCCCCTTCCCCAGTGTTCCTGGGGACAGGTTTTGTGGCTCATGTTTCTGCTGGCTGCCAGGTGCCTTGTGGCACTCCTGGAGCATTTTGGGGTTCTCTTGCCTTGGTGACCATGCTTGACACCTCCCCAACCCCTGAGGCAGGGCTCCAGCTCTGGGAGTGACTTCTGAAGCCTTTCTGTCGATTCTAATTACAACAATTATGGCTTCATCAGCAAGATAAAGGTCATTGTGCCACCTGGAGGGAGGGGGACTCTGGGAGGCTGTGCAGGGATCAGAGCGGGCAGCCTGACCTCCCTAAGAAGGAAATGTCAATTAATTATCTTTTTACAGCCAAGTCAATTAGACTCCCTAATCACCTGTGTAGGACGCTGAGGTGGAATGTGGAGAAACTGCTGGAATAAACAAGGCTTTGAGGGCTGGCCAGCACCATGAAACGACTGCCCCGGGCCCAAGACTCACCAGGAGGAGCACGAGCTGCAGATCAAAATGTTTTCTTCATTTAAGTGAATTCAAAAAATAAAACATTACTGGCCCTGAGGGGACAGGAATGCCCTCATTTGGAGGTGACCAGACACACTGCATTAGTCTTTAGGGTAGACTCCATTAGCCAAGGAACTGTGCTCGTTAGAGAGCTGGGTGGCAGCCGTGCCCAGAAGTACCAGCGAGGCAGAGCCGTCCACGTCTGGAGGACATGAAGGCAAGGAGTCTCAGCGATCCTGAGGGCCGTGCAGGCCCCTAGGACCCCCTCTGTGCTGCCTGCCCACCCACCTGCCCTGTGTATACAGAGCCTCTGCTGCTGGCCTCCCTGCACAGGCCTCCTCAACACATGGACCCCAAGATCTTGGATTCCTTATTGGCCAGCCCTACAGAGCCAGCAGCAATGTGGTCCAGCATGTGCGGATCCCTGGGGACTTCTGGGTCAGAGCCTTTCAATGTGACTCACAACCCTTGCTTCTCCTTCACTTTACAGGTGAGGAAAATGAGACACAGCCAGCTCCGGCCAAGATGTCACACTGCTCTGCAGGTGCTCTGGCCCATAGGGCCACCTCGTTTCTGGTTGGGCCATCTCCCTGCATCATCCCTGTATCAGTCTCCTCTCCGGAGGGCCAGTAGGGCTGTGCCTATGTGCTCTGCCACCCTGCCCCATCCCAGGGCCATACCATCAACCTGGGCCAGGGAAGCAGCTGAGAATCGGCCACCAGACAGTTGCTGTGTGGAAAAACATAACACTCATCTCTAACTGCACGCTGGGCTAGGTTTGACTTATTCTTTTACCAAAAGATTTTAAAGCCAGGCACCAGTGGCTCACACCTGTAATCCTAGCTACTCAGGAGGCAGAGATCAGGAGGATCACAGTTTGAAACGAGGCTGGGCAAATAGTTTGAGAGATCCCATCTCGAAAATACCCAACACGATACCAGTACTGCCAAAAAGAAAAATAATAAAAAAATTAAAAAAAATAAGAGAGAGCAGGGGACAGAGATTTTAAAATTCCAATTTCCAAAGGTGTGGGAACAGGAGGAACTGCGTGGCCTGAATGGAACTATGGACATGAGAGACATTTGTTCATGATTTTCCAAGTCAGGCTCTTTGATGGGCAGTGGTGTGTGCAGGGGCCCCATCCGGCCAATGAGCAGATCCTGCCCCCTAACCCCCCAGCTATGGGGCAATGAAGGCCCTGGCTGTCTAGAGTCCGCCCCTAGGCTGCACCGCACCCCTGTTTACCAGGAGGAACCCAGTGGGCCTCCCCTGCTTTCCTGAAGCACAGAAAATGGATTTGATCCAGGGCCACTGCCTTTTCCCACATCCTCTCTGAATGTTCAACAACAGAGAACGTCCCAGCAAGCATCAAGACCATGGCTGTCCTCTTTCCATGCAGGCTCTTTCTTCGGAAGGGCTCGTGCTTGGTGCCACACCTAGGCAGGCTGGAAACCCCTTTTCTGAAACACTGCACCAGGTTTCCACAGCCTGAGGCACACGGCTGTTCCACGCCTGCCTTCTGCATCTCAGTGTCGGAACCGCATCGGAACGTGGAAGCCAGTGTTTCTGCTGGCAAACCTCCAAGACCCGGCTAATTTGGGGTTCTTTCTAAGCCTGTTTCTGACGCCCCCGCCCACTCCTCGCCTCCAGGAGGCTCCCCAGCCAAGCCATGTGTACACAGTGCGGCAGAGCAAGGCTGGGCCATGGGGGGAAGGCTTTGGGGAACCAGCCCAGAGGGCCGGGTGCACTGCCCAGATGCCTGCTTGCCTGGGTTCCCCTTCCCTTCTCGTCTTCTGGAGGAGGCTCTCATCAGAAGCAGCAGTCTGTCTTGGGGGGCTGGTGGGGGGAGGGGGAGGGGCTATGGAAGGAGGGGGAGAAGC